GGAGGATATGGAACGCGCTTGTGCGGATCATGTCCTACCTGAACTTCACGAATAACTTCGGCATCACCTACGTACGGGGGTCAGGACTAGAACTAAGTGTGTTTGTCGATGCCAGCTACGCTGACAACGAAGTAGACAGGCGTTCTACTACCGGGCTAGCTATGATNCCTTGAGGACAACAAGGGGACTCTCGCCTTAATCGAGAACCCGTTCAGCTTAGCGAGGAGCAAGCACGTCGACGTGCGGTTTCATTTCATTCGCGAGCTATTCAAGTCGGGCAAGATCACTGCAGAGTATGTTCCGACTGGAGAGCAGCACGCCGACATGCTGACCAAGGTCCTTGGCAGAGAGAAGTTAGAGTACCACCGGAAGCCTCTGATGAACCTACCGATGTAGTGTTCTCTTGTTCTGTTTGGTTTATGTGGTGGTTTTAGCACTTGGCATATATGACCATGGTACGTCACGCAGGAAGCGTTGTGCCGGTGCGTCACCCGCGGCTGGAGCCTAGAAACGCCGAGAGCGTTGCTCGGGAGTGTAATCAGCGTGACCGGTTCAATCTGTCCTGCCTTGGTCTTGTCTTGGAAGTGCGGCCGTTGGAATCCTCCGTGGTAGCGACGGTATTCTATATTTAGGGTGTTAGACGGGGGGTTTTGATCCGGTTGGCCGGATTTTCCCTCGAACCTGTTGTTGTTTTGAGTCCCTTTGGCAGATCAGGGGTATCCATGCCCCACGGTAGGTTTGCCATTCGCGTGCAAACCGGGGAGGGTGTTCGTGTGTTTGGATACGGACTGGTTAAATCTACCGGCAACAACAGAGGGCACGCACATGGGGCATATGTACACCTTGAAATGGTTGCATGTGCGAGGACCCCTCGAACTCCAAAAAGGGCTTCACTTCTTTCTATTCACCTTGCGTGTCTAGTACAAGAGATAAAACGTCTTCCCCTTCCAAGTAAAGGACATATATATACGAACATGAAAGACGGAGACGGTGCTGTAGCAGCACATGGCGAGATATAAATGCAGGTAGTACGTGTACCGAGGCTTCTGCTTTCGAGGCTAACTCGTTCGTGTGTGTTTGTTTCGGCCCCGTTCGCTTGACATGCATGCATGCTGTTGCTTGCTTCCATCAGATATCCTACAATATATAAAGTCTACATACATACACACATAGCCTGCATATCATCGTCCTCCTCCTTCCGTTCACCACTCTCTCTCTCTCAAACCAGCTAGTACTGTAGTATGACTTTATATTTACCACTTATGCCTGCGCGCGTTTCTTGAATAAAATACAGAGTACGTAGCATGTACTACTCTGTCTGTCGTAGCCGGACAACAAACGACAAGACGGTTGGTTCTCGTTTCGAAACCAGCCGCGGAGGGAAATAATAACGGTCCAACCAGCCCCGAATTCAGAGTAAGTGCCTGCTGCAAGAAAGATGTGACGACACAACACCAACTATTCGTACGGTTGTATGTCCTATACTTGGAAGGGGGAGATTTGTTTTATCTTTTCTATTGAGAAAATCGAAAGGGGAGCGGAGGAAGAGTGAGGTCCCGATAAGCTTGATAGAGCTCGAGAGGTTCCACGGCATAGGTTCCACTGCATAGTAACCGTCATAGTATACCTATGCCCCTATCTGCGTGTTCCCGTTGTTGTCGGCAGATCTACCAGTCCGTATCCAAACACACGAACGCCCTCCCTGGTTCGTCACGCAAGTGGCGAATCATCAGTGGGGCATGGATACCCCAGATCTACCTGAAAGACTCAAATCAACAACGGTGCGGGGGGAAATCCGGCCATCCGGATCGAAAACCCTCGCGTACCCAATTATAGAAACCGTTGCTATCACGGAGGATTCCAACGGCCGCACATCCAAGACAAAGACCAAATGGCAGGACAAATTGGACCGGTCATGTGACGCGCCGACCAATGCTTCCTGCATGACAAACCATGGCCATAGATGCCCAGTGCTAAATGCAGCATAGAAATCAGAACATTCGAGATGCTCAGTGCTAAAACACAGTAACACAGAAGCCAGGACTACTCCGGGAGGTTCATCAGGGCCTTCCTGTAGTACTCCCGTTTGGTCCAACCAAGGACCCTGGTCAGTATGTCGGCGCGCTGCTCTATACTCTGCGGTGATCTTCCCCGACTTGAAGAGCTCGCGGATAAAGTGGTACCGCACGTCGATGTGCTTGCTCCTCGCCGAGCTGAAGGGGTTCTGCACCAGGGCAAGAGCTCCCTTGTTGTCTTCAAGGACCTGGATCTTCACCCCACTCGTCTCAGGCGCTACGAAAGATAGAACCGCACGCACATGCAACGCCTCCTTCACTCTCTCCCCGGCTGCTAGATACTCTGCCTCCGAGGATGACTGCGCCGGCACACGCTGCGTTTTTGTGGTTCCGTTCACCGTATTACCACCTGCGGTTACGGCTAGTCCCATCGTCTAACGCCTGTCAACAACGTCGTCGGCGTAGCTGGCATCGACCCACACTCCCAGATCTAGCCCTGACCCCCGCACGTAGGTGAGGCTCAGGTCCTTCGTGGCGTTGAGGTGAGACATGACCCTCAGAAGCGCCTGCCATATCCTGTCGGTGGGAGAGTGAGCCACCTTCTGGACCTTGTTCAACGGCAGAGCGATGTCCGGCTNGAGGATGACTGCGCCGGCACACGCTGCGTTTTTGTGGTTCCGTTCACCGTATTACCACCTGCGGTTACGGCTAGTCCCATCGTCTAACGCCTGTCAACAACGTCGTCGGCGTAGCTGGCATCGACCCACACTCCCAGATCTAGCCCTGACCCCCGCACGTAGGTGAGGCTCAGGTCCTTCGTGGCGTTGAGGTGAGACATGACCCTCAGAAGCGCCTGCCATATCCTGTCGGTGGGAGAGTGAGCCACCTTCTGGACCTTGTTCAACGGCAGAGCGATGTCCGGCCTCGTATGCACCACCCACATCAGGCACCCGAGTGCCTCCCTCACTGGCTTGTCCACCGTGGGCTCGTCATCTCGTTTCGGCCCTAGGTCAGCGCCGGGGACAGCAGGCGTGGGGGCGGTAGAAGTCACGTTAAACCGCTTGATGATGCTCTCGATGTATGCCGTCTGGGACAATTTGGTGATGCCGTTCTCTAGGTCCAACTCAATGCCAATCCCATCATACCACGTGCATTCTCCCAAGTCCTTCACCGGAAAAATCTTCTGGAGGGAAGCAAGCAACTCTTGACGCTCTTGCTCGGACGCCACCAACAAAATGTCGTCTACGTAGGTCATGATCAGACCTACGACCGCTCCGTCAACCATCCTACGGAAAACACACGGGTCAGCCCTGCACTGCTCGGACCCATTCGCGACGAGGGAATCAGCAGCTTCAAACCCCCATTCGCGAACGCTTTGTTTCAGGCCATGCAGTGCACGCTCAACCTTACACACCTTGCCAGACATGTCACCACAACCCTGGGGAACCCTGAGAAAAAGCTCTTCTTTGAGCTTGGCGTGAATGTACGCTTGTTTAATGTCCCAGTGGAACATCTTAGTTTTCTTCTCGTTGGCTACGACAACCACGGTTTTGATGGACGTCGTAGACGGGCATGCAGAAGCTGAGTGGTGAGAAACCACGCGCAACCATTCGGGCTTTGAAGGCGGTGATCATACCCTTCTCGTTCGTCTTGTACGAAAACACCCACTTCGAACTCACTGCCTTCCTCCCCTCGGGAAGTTTCCAATTTTCGTGAAAGTCCCCGCCTTGTCTAGACCACCGTTCTCTTTCACTGTCGCCGCTTCCCAAAACACNCGGGCATGCAGAAGCTGAGTGGTGGAAATCTACCCCCGGAATCTGTGAGAAACCACGCGCAACCATTCGGGCTTTGAAGGCGGTGATCATACCCTTCTCGTTCGTCTTGTACGAAAACACCCACTTCGAACTCACTGCCTTCCTCCCCTCGGGAAGTTTCCAATTTTCGTGAAAGTCCCCGCCTTGTCTAGACCACCGTTCTCTTTCACTGTCGCCGCTTCCCAAAACACCTTGTACTTGGAATCCATCGCATCTCTGTATATGAGCGGGACAGCCTCTACATCGTTAGGCTTCTGCCCGATCGGCGAGGGAACACTTAGCTCTGGGTCAAGGAGTGGTTGCGGAGACCCGTTGTCCTTTTCGTTTGCACTGAATGCCAGCTCCAGCTCCCCTGCATCAGGATGGAGCGCCTTCACTAGATCGTACTGTAACTGCTTCTTCAGCTCCTCACGGTGCGCTTGCTCGTCTTGCATGCGCTCCTCCAACAGCGATTCGCGGATATATTCCGCAACGATCTCCGGACCGTTCTCGGTCTCCAGGACAGTTGATAACGGCGCCTCCTCGGGGGCTGGCCCCTCGCTCGGCTCTTCCTCGGAGCTCCGCAACTCCCGGGTCTGCTTCCGGGTGCGGCCGGGCTGGAGCACATGGCGCAGCTGGCCGGCGCTCGACTCTCCCCAAAGAAGTTTCTTCCCTCCCGTTCCTGACGGGTAGCGGCTGTCGGCGGGGTCGTACTTCAACTCCTCGAGCGTCGCAGGCTCACCGCCTTTATTGCCGTCATCATCGTTCTCACCGGGGTCGCCTGTCTCGCCGCCGCCATCGTCATCGCTGCCGGGGTCGACGGCCTCGCTGCCGTCACCGTCGTCGTTGCTGCCGTCGTGGCTAGATGTGCTGCTGAAGGGCTCGCTCCCGCCGCTGCTCTCATCACCAGAGTCGCCGCTGAGTGGCTCGCTGCCGCCTCCGTCGTGGTTGTTGGAGACGTAGCTGGGGCCACTACTGTTGTTGCTGTTGCTGCTGTTGTCGGCGGGGTCATCGCCACCGCCGAAGTCACCCCCTCCCGAAGAGGGCGACGGGGAACCTCCGCCTTCGTCCCCCTGCATCCCATTTCCGGGTGCCGCAGGCGCCCCCATGCGCACGAGCGGAGTCGCTTGCCCCAGCCCACGAGCGTCGTCTACGTCGAGGTCGGACTCACTCCTCGAGTCTTCTTCACCCCCTCCACCTTGACGTGACGCGCCCTCATTGCTCTCGCCCTCCCCCCCCTCCTCATCATCTGCGAGAGGCACTGGCTGCAGGGGGGNCCACGAGCGTCGTCTACGTCGAGGTCGGACTCACTCCTCGAGTCTTCTTCACCCCCTCCACCTTGACGTGACGCGCCCTCATTGCTCTCGCCCTCCCCCCCCTCCTCATCATCTGCGAGAGGCACTGGCTGCAGGGGGGCGGGCGAAGCAGCGGGCACGTGGCGCCAGGTGAAATTTCGGGTGACGATTACTGTTCCAGCTTCGGTTAGCATGCGAAGGCAATCACGGGAGTAGTTGTGGGCTGGTCCAAGGTACAATCCTTTATGTCCCTTGGGATGCGACTTTGCCTCTCTTCTTAATTTGAAGACGGCAGGTTTGAGGAACGGGTACGTTGACCCGACCGGCGGGGGTGTACCGTTAAACATCTCTTTGGGGGTTTGACTGGCAACCAATGGATGTTGTTTCATGTCCCAAAAGACCTGTCTCTCCCCCGACGCCGTGGGGGCCTAAACCCCAAACAAACCCCGAACGGCATTGGGGACACGATGCTACAGCAGCATTATCACAGTAGTAGCACATCGCCCTAAGGAGTACAGCAAGCAGTAGGTGTTGGTGTTGTGTCGTCACATCTTTCTTGCAGCAGGCACTTACTCTGAATTCGGGGCTGGTTGGACCGTTATTTTTTTCCTCCGCGGCTGGTTTCGAAACGAGAACCAACCGTCTTGTCGTTTAGTGTCCGGCTACAGTGTACGACAGACGAGTCCATGCTACTTACTCTGTACTTTATTCAAGAAACACGCTCAAGCATCCAGAAGTGATAAATATATNAGCGGCACGATTTTGATTAGATGGAATGTACTGCTGCTGTATGGGCCTATCTACAGCAGTGTACGACAGACGAGTCCATGCTACTTACTCTGTATTTTATTCAAGAAACACGCGCAAGCATCCAGAAGTGGTAAATATAAGATCATACTACAGTACTAGCTGGTTTGAGAGAGAGAGTGGTGAACGGAAGGAGGACGATGATATGTATGTGTGTAATTCCTCTGTATCATAAGTTAGGGTACCTAAATGCAATAGATTGTCTGGGTGCAACCGTGTTAGTGATGGTAGCATAGTCGGGTTTGTAAGAAAGATATAACAAAGAAGAAGCGATGGAAAAAAAATAAAAAAAACGAACATCTATTTCTGTACCTACTATTGGTCAAAATGTACCCTATTTTGGCCTGTTTTGGGAATATTTTTGAGAAAATATTTTGGGATATTTTTTGAGAATTCTCGACAAAATTCTCAAATCCATTTTACTACCCTACTCTAGCGATGGAATCGCCCCCCAGCACACCACCTCGCAAAAGGGGCACCGAATTATCGGTTGGTAGGCGCTATGCCATGGCGGTAGAAATTGCGATGGGCATTCAGCCGGGGTTGTCAAGGATTCCCAAGGGCGTGCTTGACCCGATCTGCGAACGCTACGGTGTTGGAAAGAAGTACCCGTCCAAGTTGTGGAAACGGGTCAAAACCCAGATCGACAACACCCAGGAGCTGGACCTTTCAAACGAAGCAAAGTGGGCGGCCGTCGCTTCTCACCCCTTCAAAGATTGCGGCGGCATCGAGTCCAAGTGATGATGAGGAAGAATAGTCGACTTTTTCTTTTTTTCCCCCCCACCAACCAACCCTTCTTTTTTTATCCCGCAAGTGTCTTGATTTTAGTGTGACCCCCCAAGTGTCTTGGTTTTAGTGTGTGACCCCTAAGTGTCTTGGTTTTAGTGTGGTTCACTACTATACTGATTTTAGTATAGGGGGCGCGACATGGATCGTTGAGTAGAGGGGGGGGTTGGATGAGGGCCCTACTGTTGCTTGCTTTGCCCCGTAAGTGTCTTGGTTTTAGTGTGGTCCCCCCAAGTGTCTTGTTTTCAGTGTGGGGGCCACTATTATGCTGTTTTTAGTATGGGGGACGCGTCATGGATCGTTCAGTAGAGGGGGGGCTAGGTTTAGGGTCAGGGATAATTCTTGGTATTTTTGCCTTGTTTTTGTCATTGCCCCGCCCCCCCCTCCTGGTCGGAGGGGGCAGAATACATGCAAAATGCGGCCTTTTTCAGGCCGACTGGTTTTTCTCGGGCGCTCATGCACGCGGGGTGGCGCATGCATATAAAATAAAATAAATGTTTCTTGCTAAAAAAACTCCGAAGATTTCAACAAAAAAATCGAAAAACAGATCGGACACGGTTAAGGGCCCGTACAAATTTAGGTACCCTAACTTATGATACAGAGGAAGTATGTATGTATGTGTACTGCTGTAGGATATCTGATGGAAACAAGCAACAGCATATGCATGCATGTCAAGCGAACGGGCCCGAAACAAACACACACAAACTCTGCGACACCGAAAGTGGTGAGAGTGATTCTTTTGGGAGTGACGAAGACGAAGGAAAGGGAAAGGGGAGAAAG